CAAACCCAGCATCACGCCACGCCGTGGGGGTCCCGCCGGAGTCGGCTCATGGTGGCTCAGCCCCGCACGGCTTCGGCATGAGGCAGAGCCCTCGGCATCGCGCACAGGAGCGGGACAGACCCGCCGCGGGCACTTACCCTGCTGGGCTTTAATTTGAGGCAGGACATTCTGCAAAAGCGCTAAGGATTTCCGATGGTACTCCGCCTGCACCTCGATCAGCTGAGGGGGGGGGAAGAGACGGCACCGGCTGTCACCCCCACGGCCAGGAACGGGGACAGAGGAGTCCCATGGGGACGGGTGGCACTTACGGTTTGAAAATAGTTTGCATAGTCTACTTCTTTGGCCACAAAATTGTACATGTCAGCTGAGAGCTGGTCCTGCGGGAGAGCAGAGAATTAGTCGCCCCTTCCCCAGTTGCTCCTTCCTGAGAATCGCCTTTGGATAACTCAACTGGAGGAAAACCTTCAGGGTTTTAAAACACGGCGAGCACCTCCCGAGCTTGCAACATCCACCACCACTACGGTGAATATACTGGGGGGAAGCTGGTTTGCTGGGTATTACTGGGAGCGTGGGGCTGTGATGCTGTAAGACAGCACACGTTTGGGACCGGATTTTAAAGACTATGCAGGTTCTGGTTGCGCCCCTGGAGAACGGAGGCAGGATTTGAGACGCACACCCAGCTCCATCTCCTGTCCCAAACCTGCCCATGACCTACAGCACCGCTTTTGCCCAGTGCCCTTCGCATTTTCTGCCCCAGGGGGAATTTAAAGCCATACAAAATTGCCTGGGGGTTTTATTGCTGAAGCCCGCAGCCCGCAACGAAGGCACCGGCACCAGTGTCCCCCCTCTCTCGGATGCTTTTCCCTCCCAACGTGACCAACTGGGTGGGCTGGTGTCCCGCGGGACGGCGGGGGGTGACGTGGCCATGTGGCACGTGCGGGCTGGGCGCACGCCGGCGCTTCCCGCGGGTCTCTGTGCCAGAGCTGGGCATACGCGGTGCTGAGGTCGCCGGCTCCTGCTGGGACAGGTCCCTTGGCAAGGGGATGTTCTCCAGCTCCACTGGGATACAGAGGATGGGGATGGAGGAACTGGGGATGTCCTGCTTGGCTGGTGAGCATCACCCACTGCCACCAGGTTGTGTTTGGGCACGGGGACCAGCCGGAGGAGGGTTTATCACGGGCAACGGGGCAA